CAACACACAAAAATCAATAGCTTTCCTGTACACAAACAACTCAGACTCACTGAGAAAGGAATGAGGCAAACAATTTTCCTTCACAATAGTGTCCAAAAAATTTAAATACCTATGAATCAACCTAATGAAAGAAATCAAAAACCTCTACTCTGAAAACTCTGAAAAATGAGGTTGAAGATGAAATCAGAAAATAAAAAGACATCCCTTGCTCCTGGGTAGGAAGAATCAACGTAGTGAGAATGGTTATAACTTCCAAAACTGCTATATAGATTCAGTGCAATCCCAATTGAAATCCCAGTAGCATACTTCACAGACCTTGAGAAAACAATACAAAAATTCATTTGGAACAAGAAGAGACCTGGAATAGCAAAAGCAATTCTAGGCAACAAAGACAAAGTAGGGGTTATCACAATCCCAAACCTGAAACTATACTACAAAGCTACTGTGATATGAACAGTGTAGTACTGGCAAAGAAACAGGCCTGAGGACCAGTGGAACAGATTAGAAGATGCAGAAACAAAAAATAGAGTTCTGTCTCCTTATCTGAATGGATATAATTCCATGTCCCCAGTGAGTTTACAACAATGGCTATAATAAATCACACATAAACGCACACACACACACACACACACAAATACAGCATTCTATGAAAAAAGATTTGATGAATTACATACATTGACAACAGTGCTTAAAACTGAAAATTATAATTAAACATGGTATAGTCGCTGTCTTCTCTGCATCTTTTATTGCACTCATGCCTGTTATTGTGTGACAACACATGACAGCTTTGTGATGATAGAAATACATATGATGGATAAAATGGTATTAGATTTAATCGTGCTACTGAGAATGATTTAAACTTTGTTGTTGTTGTTGTACTTGTTTATACCAGGGATCAAATAAACTTTGTCAGTCTTTGTTGCTGGACTCTAATATCATTAGACCCTACTAAAAGGGGAGAATTTGAACATGTGGGTAAAGAACGACTATGATTGCCCTAGTTGGTGCTACACCCAAACTACTGAACAGGGGCAGAAGTTGTGGCCCCCAAACCCATGCATCCCTCATGAAAGTTTCTGCTGGGTGTATCCAGTGGTTCACTTTTCCTGCACTTAACTCATACAGTTCAGATGATCACATGGTTGTGCTGCACACTGACAGCTCTACATTTCTGGGATCACAACGTGATTTCATTTCAACTACTCAGAATCTATTTCTGGACATCGTATTGTATGGACTTTGTTTAAAATCCTAGGAAGTGTGGTGAAATCTGGATATACTTATGTATTCAGGATGCAGCTATTTGCAGATGATTGACCTTACTGTAGGTGGTATTCTGTTTAACTTTTGGTTTTATGAGAAAAATAAATGGTATGTAAGAGGAAATAGGGAGATACAACTCTCAAAAATGGAAAGAGCAAAAATTGGATGGAAAAGATACAGAGTGTTTGGGAAGGGTGAGTAAAAAGAATTGAGATAAGTTATATACATAAAACACCTTCCAAAAATGAATGTAAACAGTGTATACTGAAAACATGTACTAATAAAATTTTTAAATCTTTAAACTTTTCTTTTTTTGCTTTTGTGATTGTTTATCTTGTCTTCAGAATGACTGGATGGAGACACACCATGAAGCTTGGTAAAGCACACTTCTGGGTGTGTCTGTGTGGATCTTTCTAGAGAAATTTATATGTGGGTCACTGATATGAGTGGAAAATAACTGTCAGAGAAAAAGTGGTGTCATCCAAGAGCACTGGGCATTGGGTCAAAACCATGGAGAAAAGAAGCTTCTGTACACTTGAATTTTTGGTGTGATTTTTGGTGCTGTCGTCATCCAAGAACATCAGACTCCAGAGTGTTCAATCCTTGTACTCTCACCTTTATTAGTGGCTACTTAGGGGATTCAAATCCTTCCCCCTTGAACTATGGTTGAATTATTGGTTCCTTCTTTTCTGAGGCTTCTATCGTCTTCATTTGAGCAGTTGTTTCCAGGTTTAAGCACTTAGACATCCATTGTAGGACTACTCAGTTTTTTATTATACAAGGTCATAAAAAAGTCCCTTCATAACATGAGAAAAGAAAAAGAAACACCTACACACATATATTTATGTGTGTTCCACTGCAGTACACTGACCTTATAACATTGACTTTATAACTGAACCTAGAAGAGAATATTATGAGATTGGTTATGCATATCACAATTTCAATACAGTTGAAGTAATTACATATGTTCTTTGAGCTACAAAGTGGAAATATTTGAACCCCCCAAATTTGAAATAAATATATGCATTTAATATACTCAATTTAATGAACAGTATAGGTAAGCCTTTGCTATATTAACATGCTTATCAACTTTATGTTAACCTGTAATCAAGAAAAATAATCTAACATAGGCTTTCTTTCATAACAAAATAAATATCATGTATAATTTATTAACATATTAAATAGAATACACTGAACAGTATTTTTTGCTGTTTTGATTTTTTTCTGTTTTGTTTTGTTTCAGTTCTTTATGATAGATGTTCTTTCTGGTATATAAGATAAATTTGCATTTTTCTAATGGCTGCTAATGCTGAAAATTTTCTGAGAAGTGTGTACTTATTTCCCTTGCCAGTTTTTTCTATTGGGTCTTTTATTTGGAGTACATAATTTTTGTGTTTTTTATATATTCCAGATATTAGTACTCTGATGAACAGCTGGTAAAACTTTTCCCAGTACAAGTAATGACAAAACTAACTTTTTATGTCTTTATGTTCAAAACATGGAATTCCTGGATTACTCATGTTTCATTATTTATATTTTAGTCTATTATGCCAATATAAAATGACTGCTGTACAAATGTTTACCATAAAAATATCTCCTGAGGAACAAAATCTTGATTTGTCATATCAATTCTTTCTCCTATCACAGATTTGTTTCAACTGAAACTTATTTCTTACTTTAAACTTAAAATGCAGATATAAGGAGAACTCTTACATAGTTTGCTAAGACAACTATCCACGTTGCCTCCACTGATTTCAAAGCCATGATCATCCTGTCTCAGCCTCTCCTGATGCTGGGACTAGAGGAATGTACCATCACCTATGGCTTAGACTTTTACGTGTTAAGTGACTAAAAAGGAAAACATTGATGTGTAATGAAGTACATTAAAATAATTTTGCTACTGTGGAGTAAATCTAGTACTAAGGCCCTGACCAGATCTCCAGAACTTTTTATGTACTGAGACACGGTCTCACTGAGATGCCCAATTTGCCTCCATTTTGCTTTCCTCCCAAATCTTCCTCCTGGCTTGGAGGGACTACAGGCTGACATCACCAGGAACAGCAAGACTTTCTGTTCATGGTAAAATGATGGGACAGTAAATGTGCTCAGGATAAAATGTCTTGTATATTCACATTCCATCACTGGCTGGAATATACACTGTAGCAATATCACTATATATCTTCCTGTGATGGGAAGAAGCAGTTCCCTGTGGCTGCAGGAAATTAGCCACATGTTCTAGGGTATCAAAAATTGGCATTGTATTCTGCATTGTATTGCAATCTATGCATTACATCAGATATTTCAGATATAAAATAGGCATAATTTTAGATGATACTACCACGCTGGTAATTTATATGTCTAAGCATGACTAACATTGGAGCAAGATATATAATGTTTACTGCACTATAGGTATTTAATTCATTGTTCAGCTATATTTTCATGTTACCACAGGTTTATCACAATGTAACCCCATCAGAAATTGAGTGCCATTTGTATTTAAAAACTCCGTATAAAATATTTCAGTTGAAAAGAAAGACAAAATACAGATCAAAAAGACCAACTGGGCCTCATGCTCACAGCTTGGGTAAGTCTATGTGTTTTAAAATGTTTGCACATACCTCAAACATCAGACAGTGCTCATTATGGATAATGAAAAAAGATGCTGTATAAATTTCTCTCTAAAATTAGTAAAACAGAACACAACCAGAATCATAACATAGTAAATTTTCTTTTTCTTTTCTTTTCTTTTTTTTTTAGTATATGTGCTGTCCAAGTGAGCACATTTCTCTTTTTCTTAAACTGTTTCTTTTCCTTTGTGGAATTATTACCTCTTCTTAGTTAAAGCAATATTGATTACTGAAGAGAATGTCAATCCATCATCAGGAAACAGAACAAAAGCATTTGCCTCATCACATCCAATAATTATTCTTCCAAAAACAACTTCATGGTGAACAAAAATTCCTTTGATAATGTTGTTACTGATAAATCATACCATCATTTATACCTTTTGGGGAGATTTAGTACTACAATTTATGATACCCATTTGGAGACAACTTATGTTCTTGCTGATCTGTGGCAATCAGAAACTCACAGCAGTATGATTTATTTTTTGGTATAGGTGTTAGAAAAATTACCACAAAATTAAAAACCATAATATAAGCATGCAAAGTAAATTTTGATGGCAAGAAAACATAAAATTTCATGTAAATCATGATATGGACTCCAACATGAAAGCAACTAGGCAAAAAAATGTACTTGATTTACAAGTATGTTGTGATATATAAAGGTGTATTGTCAGGAGATGAAAAACGTAATATTTCTAATATAGAAATTGTGTGAAAACAATTGACCTTTGTCAAATCACATTCACAAGTCTCTTATTCATCATCAAATATAACATCAAATTAAAAAATACCTTGTTGCACAGAGTTGTGGAGTGTGCATACTAAAAAATTCAAATCAAAGCTAGTGGGTAATTCCAACAATCAAAAAACAATTAACAAAATTTACTTTTTAGTGACCTAGTCTCCCAATTGTAAAAACAAAACAAAATAAATACTACATAATGCTAACCATACTTGAAGGTGAAAAACATATTTCAATACACCTTGTTTAATTAGAAGGCACTATGTTATGCTCAAAGACACTGCCATACACAAAACAAAATTATATGATTATGTTAACTAATGTTTTTATACTAAAGACCACAGATACATAGATCAGATTTTTACAAGCGATTTACTAAAAAATACAGAATGAATACACTTTAGGATATCTCCATTTGGGAATGTATTTTCTAGAAAATTAATGAAGAAACACGGACATCAAAATTTTCATATTACTACAGGTCTCCACTACATGAGTAATTTTCACAGGATTTTAAAAATAGGTTCACATACAGAGGCTTTCTTCCCAAACTTCTTTCATGCACTTAACAATACCCATGTATGCTGAATGGTTTCCCACATTGCCTACATAGGCTTTCTCCTCAGTGTGACCTCATTCATGTATTTGACACTGTATCAGCTGAATTTTTTTTCACACGTTCCTTATATACATAGTTACTCGCCAGTGAGTCCTATTACATCTAAAAAATGAAGGGCTTAATCTTTTCCTACACTGCCTAGATATGGCCTGCCCCAGTGTGCTGTCTTTCATGTTTGATGGCACTTCTGTATACAGAAAGCTTTCCCACATTGCTTACTTACACAGCTTCTTCCCAGTGTGAATTTCTTCACATTTGACCAGTACTCTGTTGGTTGAAGATTTCTCACATTACTGATACACATAAAGTTTCTCCTCAGTATGACTTGTTTCGTGTTTTTCAAAATATTTTTGTGTAGTGTATGCTTTCCCACACTGTTTACATACATAGGGTTTCTCTCTGGTGTGAATACCTTCATGTCTTCGACAGTGACTGAGTGTGCTGAAAGCTTTCCCACATTGCTGACACATGTAGGGTTTCTCCCCAGTGTGAATACTCTCATGTCTTTGGCAGTGACTGAGTGTGCTGAAAGCTTTCCCACATTGCTTACATACATAGGGTTTCTCTCCAGTGTGAATACTTTCATGTATTCGACACTGACTGAGTGTGTTGAAAGCTTTCCCACACTGCTTACATACATAAGGCTTCTCACCAGTATGGGACCTTCCATGTCTATGAAATGTGGACTTGACAGCAAATCCTTTTCCACATTGCTGACATACATATGGTTTCTCCCCTGTGTGAATTCTTTCATGTATATGACAATTAGTCCGTTGGCTGAAAGATTTCCCACACTGCTTACATACATAGGGTTTCTCCCCAGTGTGAGTTCTTTCATGTATTTGAAAATGATTGTATGTAATGAATGCTTTCCCACATTGTTTACATATATAGGGTCTCTCCCCAGTGTGAATTCTTTCATGTCTTTGACAGTGACTATATGTGTGGAATGCTTTCCCACAATGCTTACATACATAGGGTTTCTCACCTGTGTGTGATCTTGTATGTCTATGATATGTGGACTTATGAATGAATTCTTTTCCACACTGCTTACACACATAGCATTTCTCATTTAGATGATTACGTTCATGTGTTTTATAAACTCTCTGTGTAGTGAATGTTTTTCCACATTGCTTACATACATACGGTTTCTCACCAGTGTGACTTCTTTCATCAGTTTTACAGTAACCATGTGCAGTGAATGCTTTCCCAGACTGCTTACATACATGGGGCTTTACCTCAGTGTGAACATTTTTAAGTCTTTGAAAGGAATTACAATGAGCTAGCGCTTTCACACGTCCCTGAGATATACAGCCCTTCTCTCCAGCATGTTTTCTTTCATGTCTCTCAGTATAGTATGAAGAAATAAAAGTTTTCCCACAAGGTTTGCATACATATGGATTCTCCCCACTGTGCTTTCCTTCACGGATTTGAACACCACTGGGTGTGCTGGAGGCTTTCACACCTTTCCTACCTACAGAGGTTTCCTCTCCAGGTTGAGGTCTTTCACTAAGATCAGAGTAAGCTTTTGCACACTGCTCATATTGATAGGGTTTCTCTCCACTCTCTGTCCTTGCACACTTCTGAAAGGACTGGAAATCATTACATTTATTCAGCTTCTCCTCAGATCCCAAATACTCATGTGGCTTCAGCCCAGTGTGAGCTATGATGGGCACATTTAGGGTCACCTGCCCAATCAGGGGCTTTTCACAAGCACGGGTTTCAGTTGGCTTTACAGCAGCTTGCTGCATGTCCACATTAGTATCTGGAGTCCAGAGGAATAACTCTTCCTGTTGTTTCCAAGCTTTACACTGATAATATTTTTCTACTTCTTCATTTCTGTAAAGAAAGAACAAAAATATCAATCACAATAAAAAGGGTTTTCATCTTGATAATTTATGAGGAAAAGTTCTGGTTTGATGTCTGCTAAGAAATTTTGACAATGAATTTACCTAATACCTTGGAGGATGCCTTCAAAACACCCATTCACAAAACAATGGTATTTATTTGGAAATTTTTAATTGGTGTGTCTGCAATACATATGGTCTAGTTTTATTTTAGAAGACAGGTACCTATGTGTTTATATTGACAATTTTTGATACATTTTCATCCATTATTCTCTTTCCACCAGATCATCTTTCCTGTTTCCAAAAAGTTAGCCTATCACTTCTCTTTTATTTTACTCCCAAATTATGTTTTTAGTTTCTCGTTTAATAGAAAATGTGATATTTCACTTCCTGTGTTTGGTTTATTTCACTTAACATTATGAGATGGAGTTCCTTCCATCTGTTTTGGGGTTTTGGCCAATGACATTATAGCATTCTTTATGGCTGAATATATAACACTTTTTTTCAGTGCTGAGAATTAAATACAAATCGCTTCTTGGCCTTTTGGCTAAGATCAAGTGAGGATTAAATACAGCTCTTACCACTGAATTACATTTCCAGCTTTTTTATTTCTTATTTTGAGAAAGATTCTCATTGATAATTAATTTGCTCAGGCTGAACATCAAGTTGATATACTGCTGATTCAGCTTCCCAGAGTGCTATGATTACAAGACTCCACCACCATGCTGAGCCTATCCCACATTTTCTTTATCTAGGCATCCAGTGATGGGTGTCTAGGTTCTTTCCAGAGTTCAAATACTGTGAATTGCTTCCAGAGCTTACCTATTTGAATACTGCTGCATATTCTGCTTTGAGCATGAGTATATATGTATCACTAAAATCTGATGATTTTAACTTATTTCAGAATATACCCAGGGGGGAAAAAGAACATATCCAGGGAGCTACATCTCAATAAAAAAAAAACTTCTAGTTTTACTTTGAAACATTTGTATATTGATTTATCATAATGGTTCTATTTTACATTCCCACCAACAATGTATGAAGGTGCCTTCTAAGAATTTTAAAACATGAATGGACTCAATTCTGTGAAGAATGTTTTGAAAACATCTATTACTACAATACTAGCATTCACTTCTATTTTGAATACTCCTTACAAGTTAGATACTTTTTACATAGTGAGTGTCTCATAGTCATATGTAAATAATTGGGTATCTTGAAGATAAATTCCAGTCAAAATTTAAAAAAAAAATTTTTTTTTTGGTACCAGGGATGGAATCAAAATTTATTCTTTTTGTATATGTTTACACAATACCAAAATGCAATTTTATACATTTCAATGATGTTGATCATGAAAGACTGTTCTTATACTGATATATCAGATAGTGACACTTGGAGCATAATATCAGTACTCAGTTTCCTATATTAGAATATTTCTGTATTCAATAGTTGTATTATATAAAATCAACCTTGTGCATCTCTGGAGAATTTTTATGAGATTAAATAAATTTGAATATGGCCTCATTTGTAATATTTCTGCTCATACACTGACTCTTCAGGAATATTCCGTTTTCTTATGAATACAAATTACCTTAGATTCCTTGAGCAATTTTTGTATGTTCGTTCAATTTGCTGGTTATCCCAGGTTCTTCCTGAATTGTAAATAGAGAAAAAAATCACTATATCATTACATAAAGATTAATAGACTCCGGTTAGATTCATGGTATAATATAACCAGACTGAGATAGTCTTCAAAATACTTTCACATTCTATTTAATGAAACTGCACCAATGAACAAGAACCAATGCTCTCTCATTATTTAATGAGAAAATGATGTCATCCTTACCTATAACAGTCATATTCATAAATGTTTCCCACATCACATCTCTGTAAAGCTTCTTTTGGAATGGATTCAGCAAAGCCCACTCTTCTATGGTGAAGTTCACAGCTACATCCTCAAAGGTCACTGAGTCCTAAATAATCACACATTTCCTGAAGGAAGGTTGAGATTCACAGCTTGAAGTCTCCATTCTTCTCTTAAAAAGCTGAATTGAGGTTATATCCTTCAAATACTAACTCCATGTCTTGGTCAACAAGCCCATGCGTATGCACATATTTTCCCACAGCAATTTTGATGCTAGGTTGCAACTTGTTACTAAAGCAACAGCACAAGAGTAGCACTGGTTGCCCTGCAGGGTCGCCCAAATTGTATTTGTGGACTGTCTTTAAAGCAGAGCTCATAGAGGGAGCTTGAAAATCACTCTTCACAAAACATAGGGGCAGATAATGAATGGTTTTGATACACTATGGATTATCTCTTTTCAAATCTGATTATTCATAGAATTGAGCCCTTATTTCTTTCTACATAGGCACCATTTTGATACTTGGATCTGGTTTCATAGAAAAAATTTAATTAAGAGAGTTCTGCCATACCATCGGTAAGTGTGGGTACATCCCAGGGAGCAGCTGTGTGGATCAAACTGGAGCAGCTGCAGGCGGGTCCAAGCTAGGGCCCCACCCCAACCCCAGAGGTGTAGGCACACCCACCCAAGCCATAGACCACCTAGAAAAGAGATGCACAGGCATGCAAACTTCATCCAGAGTCCCGCCACACCATTGGCCATAGCCAAGGGCCTACCTGGAAAAGGTGCACAAGCAACAGCCAGAGACTCACCCTGATACCACTGATAAGTGCCTGAAGACCCTAGTCAGAAGCCTACACAGACAACAGGAACTGGGCTACATAGCCCCCAGCCAAAGGCCTGACCCCAGGCATCAACTACATAGGGGTCCCAGGGAGAGGCACACCTAGATACCATCCCAGGTATGCACAGTCCCAGCCAGAAACCACACAGACAACAGGTCAGCTCAGGGATATAGAAGGCCACCATTCTAAACCCAGGAATTGGTGTAATGGGGAGCAACAGAGTAAAGCCTGCTGGGTAGCCTGCTGAGAATTGAAGACCACTGGGTGAGCAAAAATTTCCCTCAACAAAGGCACAGAAGGCTGTATCTGTTGAAATAAGTAGACATGGAAATGTGTCAAAACAGACTTTCAGATCACCTAAGGCAACCCCAAAGGAAAACGAGATGGAATAATCTGATACTCAACCACCTGGACTCCCTGAACTGGCAACAAAAGAGGACATGGAAAAAATGAAATCATAAATAATTTCTCATATAACAGCAGAGACTGTGCCCACAGTACAAGACATGGTTAATAAATCTAGAGCAGACACAGACTTAAAAAAAATGGAGGAGCTGAGAAACACAATGGAATCCCAACATAGGAAACAAATGGAATCCATAAAACATGAGCAAAGAGATTAAAAGCTCCACTGAAAGTTTGCACAGAAGAATGAACCAATGCAAGAAAACAATTTCAGATACAGCAGTTAGGGTTGCAATTAGTGACCAGGAAAAGAAAAATCTCTTAAAATAGTAATGGATCATGAGAGATTAATCCAGTAGCTTCTAGATGATTCAAAGAATAACATAAGATTGATTGGAATCAATGAAGAAACAGGAGAGACTGCAGACGACATTAAAAAAAAAAAAACTGTTCACTAAAGTAATGGCAGAAAATGTCCCAAATAGGGGAAAAGGACCTGACATACAGATAAGGGAGGCTTATAGGACTCCAACTTGCCATGATAAAACACACACACACACACACACACACACACACACAAAACTATACATTGGCATATAATAGTTAAAAATCCAGAGACCCAACAGAATAAAATTCTACAGTTAGAGAAAAGAAAGAAATCACATACAAAGGAAAGCCCATCAGAATCACAGCAGACTTCTCAACACAAATCCTCAAGGCAAGAAGATCTTTGAGTGATGTATTTCAAACCCTAAAGGAAAACACCACCAACCCAGATTGATGTACCCTGCAAAACTATCTTTCAAAATTGATGGAGAAATAAGATACTTTCATGACAAAGAGCACCTGAGGAACTGCATGAAAACCAAACCAGCACACCAAAAAAATTTAAACAATATTCTAGGAAAAGACAATGAAGATCACAACATTAGGAAGCCCAGCAGAATGAATCCATCAGGCACAATAAGAAATTAAACCAAAGGGGGGAGAATCCAAAAATAAGAAAAAGTCATGACAAGGATAAGTCAATGCATATCAGTTATAACCATCAACGTTAATGGTCTCAATTCGCCAATCAAAAGAAACAGACTGGCAGACTGGGTCAAGTAGCAAGATTCAACAATATGCTGCATACAAGAAATACACTTAATTCAAAAAGAAACTCAGACTGAAAGTTAAAGGGTAGAAAACAATACTCCATGCAACAGGAGCCCCCCTCAAAACAGGAGAGCTATCCTCTGAAGATCAGTGGATTTCAAACCAACACCAATTAAGAGAGACAAAGAAGGACACTGCCTCCTTGTAAAGAGAATAATCCAAAAGGAAGACATGACAATCATCAATATATATGCACCAAACACAAGTGTGCCCAACTATATAAAACAGATAGTAACAGACATGAAAAATCATATATAAGCACTAATGCAGTAGTAGTGGAAGACCTCAATACTCCGCTGTCACAAAGATCAACCAAAAAAATAAAAAAAGAAAGAAAGAATGAATGAAATTGTAGAACTTAAACTGTCGAACAAATGAACTTAACAAATGGCCTGAGATGCAGGTGGGAAATTAGCCATTTTGATAAGAATTAAAATGAGAATAGACAATTACTTGGAACTTTGGACCAAGAGTGAACTTTCTGCACAAGGAATGCAGTCCCCTCTCTATTAAAAGGACTTTGGTGCCTCCCTGCTAAGCTCATAAGTTTCCAGGAAGTCAAAATGCTAAATAACCAGTTTTTCTCTAAAACCCCAGTTTCCCTTAGACCCCACGTACTGAGGAAACGGGTTAGAGCCTGAGTTCAAAGTGGCTGTTGTAAATTCACAGAGACATCTGTGACAGGCAGCCACTAAACAACTGAGCAGTTATTGTGCTCTCCTTATCTGCAATTAGATCTGTATTGAGCGGCCACAGGATCACTTACTCTGGACGCTTCCTGGAAATGAGGGGACTCTTTTTCTTATTATTTCCAATAAAATCTCTCCTAACGTTCTCCTTTGTTTAGCAACCTCATTTCTGAACGTTGCGAGACCAGGAGCCCTGTTCTGTGATAGCCAGCTCGACTCCATACCATTTTGTGCTGGGCAAAGCACCCCAAACCCACATCCTGTTTGGCAGAAAACTTGCTGCAGCTGCAAGATGTTTCTTCGTAGCTCACCCAGTATGCGAAACTTCCTCTTGCCCCCAACTAACTAGGCAAGGTTCTGCCGTAAAATTCCTCTTGCTCTCCCCTTGAGCCCTCCCCAACCGAAAGCACGGTTTAAAAGAAGAAATCAAACCGCTTCTCCAGCGCAGAGTTCTTTCCTAGCACTAGCCCCTCTCGGTCGCTGGCTTTAAATAAAAGGGCCGGGATTTAGTTCAGCGGCACCACACCTGCCTCGCAAGTGCAAGGTCCTGAGTTCAATCACTGGTACAAAAAATATATATATATATATTAAAGATTAAATAAATAAACAGACGGACTCGAATCTGACTCAGAGTGTGGCGCATCTCTATAGCTTCAACTCGCTCGGTTACAACAGTTCGTGCAGTAACACCATTGTGAGAAGAAGCACCAAGCAAATAATTAAAGTGGTAATTGTTTTCCATTACTGAGTATGGAACCCAACGTATGCCCCCAAAGCTCCTGCTCTCCTCAGTCGGTTGAAGCCCTAGCTCTGCCTGCAGCCACCCATGACCCACTTTCTGGGTTAGCAGTGTCACAGAGGGGACGGTTTGCTTGAGACCCAGAACTCCCCCTGCCTGAGCAAAGCGGAAAGAGGACAGAAGGTGATGCAGAACTAAAGAATAGGACAACCTCAGATTCTGGAGCTAAGCAGAGGCTGTTTATTGCCACAGCTCATTCTTCCAGAACTCACCCGATTCCACCCCATCCCAGCCCCCCCTCCCCGACAACGTCACCATTGTGCGGCTTGAGGGTCTCCCCCGATCCTTCCCATGCAGGTTCCAGCTAATAGAAGTTACGGGAAGGGGTGGTGTAGTCTGCTGGGCGCTCTCAGCAATGCCTTCAGGGTATGAGCTTCTGCACCTAGATACGGGAAGAGTCCTCCTCCCTCAGCCCACCTGATTGGGCAGTTCAGACAGCCGCGCCCTCATCTCTGATTGGCTCCTGCTCTACTGTGTAGAGAAAGAAAGCTCTTCCAGCAGTGGTGGAGCTGAAATGAGAAATTATAACTCAGGAACTTCTGGACCAATCTCTCTTCCATGATTTCAGTCTCACCTCATCTGAGATATACTTGCATTTAAGGACTTTACTCCTGGCTTTTCAACGCTTCCGTGGTTTCCTTAATGGACTCAGTGGTCTCCTGCTGAAAGTGAATCACAAACGTGCTTAGAATATTCCAGGGTCAGTGTCTATAGAAGAATCAATCCCTAATGTGATAAAATATCATGAGTCCAGGCCTGACCAGGACAAAATGGAATAGAGGGAAGGCCTGCTGTTGGGAATGAGCCGTCAGTGCAATTCCCAAGATTTTCAGCTTCTCAGCTTACTCATTTTCATCCCTCAAAATGAATACATGACCCTGAAAAAGAACATAAATATTGGGTTAATGAAGAAATTAGAGTTGTATGATAGTAATATTCTGCAAAAGAACAAAGTTAAAGAAAAGTAAGCATCCCAACTCCTTCAGACAAGCTTTATATGCAGAGTCCTTTAAAAATACCTCAATTCTGGGGCCGGGGATTTAGCTCAGCGATTCGGTGGCCTGCCTTGCAAGCGCAAGGACCCGAGTTCAATCCCCGGTACAAAAAAAAAAAAAAAAAAAAAAAAAAAAAAAAATAAAATCGAAAAAAAAAAAAAAAAAAATTGAATTCTGAAGGAGAACATAATTCCAAGCATGAAGCCCAGAATGATTGAGGAAACTGAGCCCCACATTTGATCTACTTTAAGTACTTAAGACTGTGAGTTTCCCATGTCCTGCTGTGGCTGAAATTATGCACATTTCAAATTAATATTTCTAGAAAAACATTATCTGGAGTCAGGTGATACGCTCATGTCAATAACTTGTTTGGACTGAGAGATGTACAGGATATTAGTATAGCACAGTTCTTAGTGCGTCTAGCTGAGTCATGATAGCGTGAGCTGAGGGCCCAAATCTGGAGGCTGGCTCATTCCTCTCACCCTCTTTCTCTCATCTCTGGATCCTGGTGCAGGGATGGAGACTCATAGGCAGGGAAAGATGAGGGACACACACACACCACCCACAACGCCACCCCCTCCTGAAGGAGTTCAGATAGCTGGCTAAACAGGCTTAACCATCTGTACCCTGCAAAGCTGGGTTTGCTAAGATCAAAAGGAAAAAGAACCTTGGCCCTAATAGGTAAAAGCCTCCCCAAAAGACCCTTCCCCGTTGTCCCTAATGACAAGCTAAGTTAATCATGAACCAATCAAGTAAGGGAACCCTCAGGCCAGAGGCAAGATAGCCCCCCCCAGCTACTATAAAAATATTATCTTGAGCCCCCCTTTAGCAGTGGCTCTATTTTGGGCACCGCTGCCTGTCCATCTGAGAGAAGGCAGCTGTACTTTTGCATGCTTGCTGAATAAAAGTACAACTTTGCTTCTGTGCTTTCAGTCTCTATCTGATTCTTCCACAACCTTCTGAGTCATCAGGAGAGTCAGGCCTGAGACGGCAGGGACTCTCCACCTGTCTCCACCCGTGATACTGGTTCTCATAAAGTAGGTATCCTTGTCCTTTATTTCTGTTCACCATGATATAGTCAAATCAAGACTGCATTCTCTGAAATACTGAGGCAGAATAAATCTTATTTTTTATGCTTTGTATCTCAGGTATGTTTGCCTGTAGCAAGAACAACAACAACAAAACACTTAATACAATACCTCTTAGGTATCTGTTCTCAATAAACTTTCAAATACATCATCAGTTCGTTCTTCAGAAGACTATAGAAGTGAGTTTTTCTCTATAAATATTCTAAACTAATTTCTTTAATGTGTACATATTTCACTCCAACCCCAGCAGATCTTTGCATATCATAATGACTTTCTCCCTCTACAATCTATAAAAGTAGAATGAACCCAATATATACAGGCCTCTGGCGGTGAAATTATGCTTAAAACAGACTACAGATACCTGGAATCTTGTTACACAATTCTTGGCAAGCTGATGAAGCTCTCCTTCTCAGCTACTATTTATACTTGTAGGTGGTAACTCAGAAGAACCATGAAGAATATCCACAAAGATGTGAAGTTGTGTATGTTTTCTGGGAAAACACTCCAATAACCCTGACTAGGGTGACACAATGTGACATCACAACACTTTGATCTGAAGGGACCCCAAAATGCACCTCCTGGCTCTTCTATCTGCAAAGTGATTCTCCCGGTCTCCATTTTACCCAAATCATAAATACACATGATTCAGGTCTCATTTCAGTATCACCACTTCCAGATGTTTCTCTCAATCCCCAGCATGGTATGACAACCTTACAAAACATTTGTGGACATCTGGCTTACCTTCTGAAACTTTATTGCAATCTGTCATGCTCAATGTTAGAGAATTTTCCCATTTGAACCCTGAACCCTGTGCTGAGGGCACAGAAAAGCTTTGCTCATAGTCATTCCTGTCTCTCAGCATGTGTAATGTTTCCAAGTCAAATGAGCATGAAACTCACAGTGGTGGCAATATAAGAAAAATTTTTAAAAGGACAAGATGCTGTGAGAACATAAAAGAAGTTAATGTGAATCTCACTAGTTTAGTGAATGGGGTGGCATTTTATGCGGGGTAGTTTGAATGACACATAGGAATATTCCAGGCAATATTGAAACAACACTGATAGCAGAAAAACTAAGTTGAAGAAATGGCATGTGAGTATGCTGACTCCAGAGAAAGGACATCACCAAATATTTTCCGAATGTAGACGATGGCTATAATTTGCATTTAGATGTCTCCCCAATGCCTCATATTGTTTTAAGTGGGGCTTTTTCAGAGGTGGCTGAATCCAGAGTGTGTGTCTGATTCATGGTGCAATGTTAGAACCACAGGCACTGTGATTAAGGGTGTGAGTGCTACCTGTCCTAAGTGGATTGAATAAAATAAAAGGGGCAGGAAGACACTGTTAAGGTTCTCTTATTGCTTTTGCTGTCTTCTGCCATCATGAACTGTTGCCTTTTTCTCACCACATCTTGGAGCCAACCAATTATGAACTGAAACTTCTATGAACTGTAAACCAACTACACTTTTTCCCCTTTCACTTTCGGTATTGGATATTTTGTCTCAGCAATAAGAGAAGAGTACTTGAGACAGAATTTGGCACCAGAAAAGTAAGGTCTTTGCTCTGACATTACCTGGCCGCATGGCTCAAGAGACTTTGGAACTGACTTATGGGAAGGTGAAGAATTAGGAACTATTTAGAGAAAAAGTAGAAAAAGTAGAGCTAAAACACCTTAGGCTGTACTGAATGGGAGATTCTGATCAGAGCACAGAAAACCAAAAGGCAGTAAAGACCAGGCTTAGGAGATTTCTGCTGGAAGAAGGACTGCATTGGCGGCTAAACTCCAATGTGTGCTATGCCTTGGCAGAAATGAATTTTGTCTGGGTCCAGAGACCTTGCCTGAAAATGAGATTTAGGTGGCAGACAAATTAACCTGGCAAAGAAAATCTCAAAGCTGTCTAATGCTGAGGCAGTGGCTTGGTTGCTGTTGAAGACTTTTAGTCAAATTTGTGTTGAGAGTCAAGAGCAAAGGGCCCAGCACAATGACTTAAAACATTTTTAATTTGTCCATAAAGGAATCTGCAGTAAAGCTATGGACTGAAAAGAAAAAAAAAAAAAGAAGAAGAAGAGTGGAGGAGATGTTGATTGCTGAGAAGGAATAGGAAAATAGAAAAGATGGCCTGAGAGCATCACAAGAAACACCAGGACTCCATCTTTGTAGCCTCAAAATTGTAAAGGTGAAAGACTTTGCTTTGAAAAGACAGCCCCAGAGCACCATGTCCCAGAACAGCAGAAGCCTAGGGAAGCTGTTCCTCAGGATTTGGTTCAGGGCACTGGAGCCCTACAGCTAAGAGAGAAGGAAGTGTGGCTACTGCTCTAGCTGACAGCAACCCTGGCATTATCCATGTGATGGTTTTTAGGCCCATGTGGAATGCAAGAGTTGGGGTCAGGAAGGCTTCCACCCAGATTTCAGAAGGCCTGGGAGTCCAAGCAGTGCTCCTGAGGGGACTGTGTAGGAAGCTGTGCATGTGAAGCCAAAGGTGCAGCAGAGACCCCAAAACTTTGGAGAATCCAGGAATATGGATCATCCAAGGAAAACTGAAAAGAGTGAGGAAATCTGACCCGCAAGAGAAGCCATGGGAGCTACCACCACTACAGGTGGTACTGTAAATAAAACAACTTGAAATAAGTTTTCTGAAATAGAATTAACAAAATATTATCTTTATTCAGAATTTGGAACCTGAAAAAAGGCTGAGTGGGGTTATTTAGGATGTCTTCCAGCCTTCAAGTCAAGCACTATCACTGATACAGATAGGCCTGAATGTAGCAGAGCTCACTTAATTGGATTTGAGGTCTTATTTTATTTGTTTTTAAATTTTTAATCTTTTCAGATTTGAGTATGTTGCCTAGAAAGTCAGTAACTAACAAGTTTGTGGTTTGGGGGAGAAATGTAACTAGACAGTTTCTTAGCTTTTCAGTTAAAGACAACACTTAATTTAAAAAAAAAAGAGTACTAAGTGAAGTAAATAAGTCACACATGTGTAAATACCAAATAGCTTCTCTGGTGTGAATAACTATAATAGTACACAAGATCCTAATGAGAAAATTAGCAATGTGAAATAGGAAGAAAAGGGCTAAAGGTGTAGGGAAAGTGGGAAGGGCAGGGGAAAGGTAATAAGGGAAAGGAAAATAATAGGAGAAAATGAAAAAGTGGAAATAAAACGTTTATAAATGGGAAGGGGAGAAGGAGGTGAAAGGAGGGCAGAGACAAGGGTAAAAAAATGAGAACCAAGACCTGTCATGTAAAGGTACAAGATCCCAATGATGAATGTAACTGTATTGTATACCTAAAATGTACCAATAAACTCAATGAGGAAAAATAAGTAAGTAAATAAATAAATAAGAGTAAACCATGGAATGTCAGGCATGCCTAACTCATTCACAGTGAACCACCTTTTGATTTATACTTCTGCCAACCAGCTGAATAAACTGCTAATACCTATCTTTGCTCTGCCAGCCGCAACATTTAATTCAGCATCTCTGGTTAATGGGCCCTTATCAACAAAGTCAGCCTGGTCCATCTGTATGTTTTTGCCACCATTATGCTACACCTGTAATATCCATCCCCACACTTGCTGAAGAGGCCTCTACTTATGAGTTAGAAAGCTCAACAAGTTCTTTGGGAGAATAGTGGACCTTCTCATGGGTCACACTATGTGCCTCGCCATTGGGAGCTTTCTGTGACTCAAGCCTTGTTACAGATGTAGAGGCAAATGTGGATGACAAAAGTGATTCCTAAGGAGGGTCACCACTATGGTGCTCAGACAACACGGGATTAGTTTTCCCAGATATAACT